CACCGCTTGCATCTCATTCCAAAGTGTGACAAGGTTGCATGGTTTACGTCAGTACATCTCATCATTCAATATTTACGTCAGTACATCTCATCATTGCTCCATAAAACATTTGAGCCGTGTACGGTCTGGAGAGCGTGCAGGAAACTCGGTTGGTGCCCTGCGTCCTATCCACTGATCTGGCACATTATCACACACCACTAGCACTTAACCCAGGACTAGCTTTAGATCTCACGAGATCCTAAGCTATTTCAGGTATGGAGCCCTTTAAGAGGAATATGAGGCAATTTTTTTTATATAAAATATGGTACAATGTTTGGGGGTGGCCCAAAGAAAATGGGACCCTTAAGCTATAGCTTGTGTAGCCTTATACGTAAATCCGGTACTGCTCACACCACTTTCATGTGACTCTTGCCTTGAAAACTTTTGTGGTAAACATTGAAACATTTCCAGCACTGAAACTGAGTATTTATCACATGTAGCCGCGCGAGGTAGCATTGATTGGTCTTTCTTCACATCCTACACTGTTCCATGAGCCTCGAAGTTTCCTCGTAGACGTGTTATTGTTAACTTCGAAGGTGGATCTGTCCCATACTTACATCTCCATTGTCTCTGAACCACAGCAACATTATCAAACTTCTAGTACCACTCCGCTCTTGAAAGTTCAAACAGGCCCGAATTGTGGATGTGACGCTCTTGGCACTAACTGAGTTGCAAAACTAGATCGGCGACTCTGCTGTCACCTGTTGAGGAAACTTAATATTACGTATTCTTACAAAATTAAACTTCTAGGTAGGAAAATAAATTTTCTACGTGAGATTAAAGTGTGTATACATTTTTCTGATGCACCCAACTTATTCAACTGAAGATGATATGCAACTATCTCTCAAGTCTGCGCTATTTTGAGGTTCCCTTTGGCACCTACTTTGCCACTCTCCCTGGAGAACCCATAAGTAAGGAAAAGCTCATCGCCAAGTGCCCTTTGGTGCACTACTTCAACAGAGCCGGAACACGTCGTACTATCTGTACGATATTTCACGGCGTAAAGCTGAACTTGGAACCATTCTTGCTTCTGAAGGAAATAAACCTATGTCTGATATTCTAGAAAAGGATATACTGGTATTCAAATATGTTCCTAAATAATTTAAAATATTACAACTCCCCCCCCTGTAAAATTCACGCAGTCAGTTAATCCTGGTAAAACTACCACAAGCCTAAAGAAGGTAGAAAAGTATTATGAGAATTACAGTTTCGTTGAATAATCGTCTAATAACATGCTAGACAATCATACTGTCTAAAACTATATAATGCAATGTGCTGTGGCATCATAGATCAAATGTATGATAAGTCGTAAGGTTAACTTTAATTATTGAAAACCTTTTAACATTATTATATAAGCATGTTGACAAAATACCGTACACACTTAAAACTTTTCACCAGATAACAAATTAATATTACTAATTATCTGGTAAAAAATTAACACTGTGATTTTATTCACATAGATAACATAAAAATATTCCGTAACTAAAAAATCTTATATGAAATCTAAGTATGTAAAAATGAAAGTACATTACATAAATAAAAAATTATGAAATATATAGCAATTTAAAGCATCACAAAAACACACATTACTCATGTGTAACGTTTAAAGCTTAATATTCAAAGTTCCAACATATAATGTCTATATGCATGAAAATTCGAACTTAAATTAACTGAAGAATGAGGGAGGATAATAAAATTCAGAACTAACAAGAAGTAATTGTAACAGATATTTTAAGAATGAAGAAGCATGCATTATATTAAATTTATTTAAAGCAATGGAAAATTTAGGTGAAACAAAAATGAAAATTATTTCACTTTCCTTTTTATTCACTCTTAATGAAGTTAAATAATTATACTTTTATATATGTTACTCCGAACTCACATAAGATTATTTCAAGACTTATTATCCTTCAGGCAGACAATAAAAAAATCTCCAGACACCCCAAATGATGACTGCATTTCAATTTCAATACAAAATAAAATTTACAGCCATAAATTAGATTCCACATGTTATTCCCAATGCAACAAATATATGCGATTTTTACCATGCTGTACATGGAAATGTAATTACTTTAATATGATACAAAAGGTAATGAAAATAATATATTAAAGTAAATTCCATGTAAATAATGCATAAAGGCAAAATTAAAACCAAAAGCGAAGCTTAAAAAGATGATATTAATTGTTATATTATTCCATGTTGCACATATAAATATGAATAATTACTAGAAGTTTAGAGAACGAAAATTAAGGGAAAAAAGCTATTTTCATGTTTTTTATTTCTCTTTGGAATTCCATTTATTTTAATTATTATTCGAGTAAAGATCCCTGTTACGTGCTTTTTTCGCTGGCAATTCCTGCCTATTTTATTATGTTTAACTCACAATTCCTTTATCGTGCTTGTATGCATACTATATGTCACATTTATGTTTTTTTCTTCAAAGGAGAAGGATAATTATAATTAGCTTCCCCAATTTTAATTTTCTGTTCTCAAGCTTTTAGTAGATCTTAACAACTTTAGAGAGATAAGTATTAATATAACTGTATAATTCTCTACACTTCGTTTATAGGGTATAAACGAAGTATAAGATATTTTATACTTCGTTGGTTTATACCCTATAAGATAATAGTTTATAGGGTATAAACGAAGTACAGAAGAAAAATATACTGATATTTTGCTTTTCTTTCAACCTTAAAAAAACTCAAAGGTTTCAGAGTTTAACGGTTACCTCAAAGGGTTCCTTAAGATTTTTTACGCTCTCAACTAAGTTGTCAACTTAGTTGACTTAGCGAGCTTAGTTGACTAAACCATTTTTGTTGTCTTTTTATCTTTTATTAAGCCCAATTTTCTTCTCACTTGCATTGTATACAATTCAACAGCAAAATTACAAAACTTTTAAGAAATTTAGTATATTTTTGGAATTCCCGATGCATCGTTAAGTTTTGGCAAACCATTTCTCTGTATTTTCAGTCTTTTCTCAGTTCATCATATCAATGTTGGGTTGTCTTAGCATTATTCCTTAGTTCAAAACTATTTTTAGCCCAAAAGACGTTAGCCCAGAAGGAATATTAATTTCGTTTTGGCATTTTGTGGCATTTCACTATAAACGGCGTTTCGCTTTTCATATTGTTGCCACAAAATATTATCTTCTTGTATTATATTTAAAGAATTTAGATAATGAAGAATCTGCATGAATATATGTATTTTTCTCGCATAGTGATAAAACAACTGTACCTAGAGCCATCAAATTTTAAATAGCATACGTCTCTACCCGAAAAACTGTACTTTTTTTTTATTTCCAGATGAGATTTAGAGAGGTATGATTGTTGGTGTTCGTATCGTTGGTGTATCGGTAACTTCAGTTTTAAAATTATTGAGGTTTCCGAGAGGTACTGTCTCTAAAGTTATGATAGCATAAAATAATTTCCCTAAAACTTAATCTGGGAGATGTATTCGTGAGCTAACCTTTCTTACGAAGCTAGAAGGATGTTTAAGAGGATTGGTATGTCAAAAATAAAAACCACTGAGAAAAGATAATCGCCGAGTTTTGCCGAGCTTTCTATGCATTATAGAACTTAATTTTGATATATACACTATGACGTGAATTGCATAAGCAGAACATTTGCTGTCTCAAAACCTCTTCTTTAGAGATAAATAAAAAATTATAATAATAAAAAACTACCGTAGTGCCAGAAACATAAAACGTAGAATTTTAATCAATGGAAACGAGTATTATTTTCAGATGAAGCAACCTTCATAATCTTCCACCAATTTGGACGCGGAACATCAACAAAAACTCACACTAACTGTTGGTTTCTTCAAGTAAATCATCATTGCTGTTCTAATATGCTTAAGCAGTTATATCGTGGCGTAAACCATTTTAAGTAACCGTATCCATTCAGTGGCGTCCACACTGTTTCCTGTGTATAACAGCATCTTTCAAGATGATAATGCTCCCACTATTTTAAGCGACCATATTCCATTCAGTAACGTAAACTCTGTTTCCTACGTATTCCTACTTTCAAGATAATAATGTCCCCACTATTTTAAGCGACCGTATCCATTCAGCGGCTGTAACAGTGTTTTCTACGTATAACAGCATCTTTCAAGATGACAATGCTCTCACCATTTTAAGCAAGAATATTCATTCAGTGACGTCAATACTGTTTTCCTACATGTAACAGCATCTTTCGTGATGATAATGCTCCCTTCATTTTAAGCGACCATATCCTCTGAGTGGCGTAAACACTGTTTCCTAGGTATAACAGCATCTTTTAAAATGATAACGCTGCCATTCACCAAAGTAAAATTTCTTAATTTTCGAAATCAAATGATTCAATAGAAGATGAAAATGAAGTTATACAAAGAAGATACAAAGATCAAATTTATCTTTCTTGGCCTACAGAGTAAGATCCTATTTTTGTCTCTCAGCATCTCTCAGTCAACTCTAGCCGTTCTGGTAGAAGGATAGTGTAAAGTATTTTTAATCACCGTTTCAGAAATTGTACGCCTCTGTTCTAAAACATTATTAGCAGTTTTGTATGCCAAATCAATCTTTATATGGTATTAAATACAAATTTCTTCCTATTTTCAATCTTTTCTATTATTTTGGACAGCTCTTTTGTATCTTTCTAGATGAATGCTTCTAGCAGGGCAAATATTCTGTGGCGTTCATCTTAATTATGTATTTGTGTATTAAAATTCTCATTTCTCAAATTAAGGTAGTTTCTTATGAATAAAAACAGTCAAGGGGAGAAATGCGTCTAAAACGTTAATAAAGTATGTGCTTTATTTTTGAAGAAGTCACATTTTCTTCCGAAATTCTAGATTTTAAGTACCATTTGCCTTATGAATATTTTTTTCTGGACTTACTTTGTTGGAGTTTATATTTTATTCACGAATTTAATCACGAGTGTTGCTTATATTATCTAACGTTTCTTTTTTCTTTTATTACATGCAGCATGTTTTGGAATCACTACGAAAAAAAGTAAGCCCTTTTCCTTCTATTCCGTTTAAATGTAAATAACATAAAAATGCTTAGTTATTCATTTCTGTTACCTTTACTTTCTCAGATAGCCATTTTTCGTTACATTTTCGTAGACGCACCAGAAAACTCATCAATATTTCATTCGCGTTGTTAATGTTAGAGGAGAAAAATGGAGCGGGTTTAGAAATTTATCGTATTTGCATTGTTGCGCTGCTCGTGCTGCTAAAGAAAGTGGGATTCTTCTCTCCGTCACCTTGTCTTTGATGGATTTCGAATCTCACCTTTAAAATGTAAATCTCTGTTTATTGTTTCTCGCGACACTAGAGGGAACGGCGAAGGGGGAAGGTTCAACAACGCTGTTTTCAATTCAATTTTCGAGGCTCCAAATACATCTCGTGGGAATAAATTTCGCTTTACTGGAACTGTTACCCTGAAATAAGAATTCTCCCGCGCGCATAAATTTTTTTTATGCACCAAACCAACCGTTTGCGGCCTAAGAACACCATAATCTAGAACAGCATTTTTCAAATTTTTTTGTGTCGTCGAAGGAAGTTTTAAAATATTTTTCCCATTCCTAAGAATTTTTTCATAATGCATGGTTATTCAAAACGATTGACCTATTTCAGATGGCTTTATTTTTTAAATTTGCACATACACGGTGGCAAATAATTCATTAAATGGAAAGATATATGCCCGGGTTTTATTTATAGATGCCGTATGTCAATTTTACGTTGCACGAATAATATCTTAGTTTCTTATCTTATCTTAATAATATCTTAGTTTAACTAGCAATGTTACCCTGAATTATTGGCAGCTAAGGCAAAGTTATAGAAACGAAATCAAAATATTCATAGAACTCCCTATAGAATAAAAGTACGATAATACGCACACCTTGAGACCAAAAGTAGCATAGATTTAATTTGCGGATTGTTATGTTTCTCTTTCTTTTGTTTAAATTTTTACTCTTTATTTATTTGTTGAAATTTGATTTATTGATCATAAATACCTAGTCGAAAATACTCATAATTAAAAAATTGCATAATCAAGATTCATTGCATTGAAAATTATTGAGTAAAATTATATAGTATTTTTTAATTTATTAATATAACATGGAAAAAAACTTTCGAGGAAGAAAATATTCACTTTTAAAAATGCATAGATGTATTTTATAATAAAAAAATTGTATATCCACCTGTGAAATTATTCTCACCGTGTTTTTCACCGTGTTCTACCGTGGTTTTTTTTTTTTTTTTTTTTTTTTTTTTTTTTTTTTGAGTATCCATAAGTCACTGCACTAATCCAACCAGCTATGCTCGGTACATCACTTTCACACTAATATGGAGTCATATATACTTAATTAATTAGTCTGCAAAGGCAATCATAGTCTTTACAGCGTCAAATCCGATGCGTAATTTTTCCATGGAGAATTTAGCCTCTTAAATTTTTCCTTTGCACGAGATGACTTTTTCTAGGAGTTCGTGAATTTTCTTATTAAACATCCAATTTAAGGCTTAGTCTAAAGAGGCATTTTCCTCTTGACGAGTAGGTATTTTCGTATGAGTTCCTTTAACTCTGTCTCTGTAAGAAGAGTGCCTGTCTTAACTGAGATTTCTACTTCAGAATTTGTCAGCTTCGGGAAATCTGTACTTTTCGAACATGAGAGGAGGAATTTTCTTTTGATTTTTCTTTCTTAGCGAATTTTTCTTCTTTGAAGAAAATTCGCATTCGCTTTACCCCCTCGATTGCGGCTCACATGTTCTTCTCCGCAGAATACGCAAGTGGGCATTTCTTCTGGCTTTTCTGGGCAATCACTTGTATGATGATTTTTTGCCGCACTTGCAGCAACGTTCCTGATATTGGCATAGATGATGTGTGTTTCCGTAGGTTTGACACTTGTATTGGCATTGGTAAGCCTGACACCTGTAAAGGCAATAGGTAGGCCTTTTCATTAAAGAGAATTTTTCAGTCTTCACATTTACACTGATCATGTTGTTTAGATGGAAAATAGCTTTCTCTTCTCTATTTTTTTTTAATTCCAGGAAGAAAATCGGCAATTTCTCTATGATTCCTCTCCTTGATCTTGTGAATTGCTCACCTTTAAATTGGAAACTTCCGTCTTTGAAGGTTGGGATAGATTGCTTCTTCTGCAACCCTTTAAGGCAAATTTTTCACGATGGCTTTCATATTCCGTTTGCTTAACAGTTGGTAGTTATGATAAGGAATATTCCTTTCACTGAGAATTTTCGTTACTTTTCTAAAGTCGTTTGAGTTCTTAATATAAACGTAAAGAGTTTGATTGCGTGTTCACTTCGTAATCCTCTGATACGATTTCTTTAAAAGTTCGTCAATTTTCAACTAATCAATGGTTTGTTGGGGGATTCTCCGTCGCAATGGGCCGGAAATCTCCGTTTGGATGGCTCCTTCTTCTTCATTATCATCAGAGTTTACAAGACTCTTGAATCTATTTCCATGCCTAATATCTATAGGTTCTATTTTCTCAGGTGATTTTGATGGATTTAGGGGAATCTCTACTCGTTGGCCTTAGAATTTCGTTGCTGCTTTTCTACCTTAATTCTGGGTTTCTTTGAAGTGCAACGGAACTGGCTCCCGGCGTGCTCTCCATCAAAATTGAGAGCGGAACTGAGCGAAGTTGTACTATCATCAGGATGGTGCTCAAGGCTGTTGCCAACGGCAGGTGCAGACTTGCACTCTTTGCCACGAAGAATTTCATGGAATTTCATGGGACACATAAGAAAAAATGTCGTTGTATTTGCAGTATTGAAGTTCCTGACAATCAAAATTTTGTTTTTTACATTTAAAAATGAGTAAGGAACATAAGTATTCGCAGATCAAAACCGGAGAAATTACCTGTCATCAGTAGCGCGTCGAAAGAAACATTTCCTGGAATGTTCGCTTTCGGGATATCTGATTGGTTGACTTCGCGAAAACCTGTTTTTTGGGCAAAAGCTTACGAAGGACAGAACATTAAGCAAAACAGTTTTATCTCAGTTGCAAAATGTCCCTCCTAGCCAGCCGGAACATCAGTTCTGTTGAAAATGTTTCGGCTAGAAACCCTCTAGTGTTAGGAGAAGGAAACCCTTGTTTTTTGAAATTTTGCCTAGTCTCATGCACCATTAGTTGTAATAACCCAATGAGAAACTACGAAATTCTATTAATTAAACTCGAAATTCTACTGCAATTTTTACCACTACTACTAAAATGAAAGGAATTTTGCAAGAGGACTTAGATAACATTCTAGTTGAAATAATACAAATAACAAAAGAGAAACTTCAAAATAAAGAAATAACGTGTAGACTGTTTAAAAATAAAGTGAAATTACAAAAGAAAGAAATTCATTAGAGAAAATTCTCCAATCAAAATTTATGTAATAAGTTATGTGAATATAATTATTGTATAGACTTTATTTGTAAATCAGCCAATTTATATGGCAATGTAAAAATTTTAGAATTATTAATAAATACTAGACAAGGGCGGACGTGGGCAGAACCGATTAACCGTAATTATAGAGGGATGGTGCCCACGTCCTCTGGTACTACTACTACTACTACTACTGATTATTTTTAGGCACATCAAAAATTATTTCTTTGGCAGACAAATTACTTTTTGATCATAGTTGAATACAAATAATTTTTATATAATCAGATAAAAAGCTACGATGTCATTTCAGGCAGGGAAGCATAGGTGCCGCGAAGTGGTTTGTACGGCAGAAGTCAGGAAAAAAGGTGAGCGTAGTGCTCGTGACTCAGTATTTATACTTCGTAGGCATAGAGAGTATTTTAAGCTATGATTGGTCAATATTAGTTTTAGTTACTTTTTTCAAGCAGTGTTATGTAATTTGGAGTGATCTCGAATTTGGGAGAACAGATAAATTTAGGGGGGAGAGCACCAAATTTAGAATGTCAATTTGAGTTCTTTTTTTATTTTGCTACTTTGGTTACAGAAGCAAATGTTTCAACGACGACAGATTACTTCATTAAAAAAACGTTATATTTTAATGCATTATTCTGATGAGAATCTCAAACTCAGAAATTTTCTTTTTGACATTTCATGTGCAGAAAAATTCCGGTCAACAAAAAGAAATCCTCGCTGTTAAGCTCGAAATTCACTCATTTTTTTAAGTCTAATTTTCTTTCATAGTCTAATTATTCTAATACAAATACATGTTATATAATGTAAACAACTGATCGTAGTTTATTTCTATCTAAAACTGTGAAATCTCTGACTGTAAGTACACGATGCACAAAAATAAAATAAAATTAAATAAAAAAATATATAAATAAGTGAGTTTCTTTATACACACAGTTACACAACAAAGGCATGCGGCATGTTCTACTAGGTCGATTGACGAAATTTAAACTTGCGTTTTTAATGTCTGGAAAGCTCAACTTAGGATATATATTAGATTTATATAGAGCATTGTTCTGTGCATACTGTGACACAAAATTGGATTTTTTCTGAAATGACATACTTTTTTCTTTCTATATTTCGATTCTACGACTCAGATTATGACCAAATATTAAATTTTGTAAAGTTTGATGAGACAGCTTCCGAGATATTCAAGACTTTATCTTAAAAATTCACTTAGAGAATTTCTTAATTTGTAGCAAGCTACCATTCTTTCCCTGTTTTTCATTCTGCACGAACGGAAATTCTACACAAATATGCTACTAAGACTCATTTCAGAAGTGCTGAAAAAAAAAACTTCTCCCACTTCTCATGGACCCATCAGCGGCCGAGCGGTAAAGTCGCTGAACACTGGTAGTTCGATCCGAGGTTCGAATCCCGCGAACTGATTGGCTGCATGGACGTTTTCGTTTTCCTCATGTGTAACGCGTATACGAGTTTGAACCAGTTTCCCTCCACGAAATCCCTTCCCTTAGGCAAATATATTCCTCGAGGCTTTGCTATATTCACACAAACCAAACCAAAACCATTTCTCCTACTTCACAAATAATGAGTTAAAGAAACGCAACCATTTAATAATATCGCAAAAAATATAATTCTAATAACACTACAATTTATTGGTTATATCGGTTTCAAAATGATATTAAAATATTTTTGCGAAATGACCAGCTGCGTTAAGATAGCTTTCCCTCAAATCGGGTTTAGGGTTGCCAGAAAATGGTAGGCTGCGAGATTTGGCGCAAAATCGTTTATTTGGCCACAAAACTGGCGATTATTTTACACATAAAATTTATGTATAAGGTTGCTTCTTCAAAAGCATTTACTGTTTTATCATTGATTTCTTCAAAGAGAGGGGGAGTTTGTCTTACTCAGAGATGTAGAGCGTTAATGAGAGTTAGTTTCTCATCCATACTCTAAGTAGGATTTCTTTCATTTCTTAATCGATATATTATTTCAAAATCATTCTTCTGTCATGAATAACAAGCGTCCGCAGCTAACTAAAATTTAATGACCTAGAAAAGCTTTAATTAAAACAAGTAAATAAAAAGCTATCTGTTGAGATAATGTAAAACATTTGTGTTGAAATTCTTTATCATGTCTGGTGAAGTTTGAAAAACATTTTGTATTACGAATGATGATATTGTTGCATTCTTCGGGTTCGTGGATTTGGAATGATTGGTGGCAACACTTGATGAAGAATGAAATCACAATTTATTCGTCAGTATTACACAGAGCTGTTTTAAAGATGCGTTACAGTCGTTAAAAACTACGGTAGACACGCTGAGAACATTATCGGCGTGTATCTGCCTTGGAGAACATTCTCGGGAAAACAGGTAAGAATTTGATCTAAAATATTCTCGCTCCGTCTATGGCATATCGCCAGTTATGTGGCCAAATAAACGATTTTGCGCCAAATCTCGCAGCCAACCTTTCCTTGCCCTTTTTTGGCAACCCTGAACCCGATTTTAGGGGAAGCTATCTTACTGCAGCTGATCATTTCGCAAAAATATTTTAATATCATTTTGAAACCGATATAACCAATAAATTGTAATGTTATTAGTATTATATTTTTTGCGATATTATTTTATTATATCGATATACGATGACATTTTTTTTTTAATTTAAATAATATTTTCGGTCAAAACGAATAAACTCATAATAATTAAACTTCAGATTATTCCAATTTAAAATACGCGAATAAAAGCAACCGGAATACAGAGAATCTGATGTAGACACTGCATGACTTCCTTGTACGGCGTAAACATTATACACAATTTTTAATGTACTTCATTTATTAATCTTATTTCCTGGAGCTATTCTAACATAGCTAACCGTGGGTTGTACTTTTGGTACTCGAATTTCGCACTAACGATAAATTTTCTACCATTATTGTTTCCATGTGAAAGACAATGTATTCCTCTGCGTTTTACAGCGCTTGGGTCACTTCGTAGAGATTCACGATATTATTGAATAAGCGAATTGCATTTTTTTAAGTTGCTGTATTGGTTTCCCTTGTTTTGTTTAAGTATTTTTAAAGATTTCTTTAACGTTGAAAATAGTGTTTAGAATTTCTACAACTTAGACATGCATCAACTTGCTTAAAGTTACTAACTTTTGCAAAATTTTAACATATGATTTTAATAAAACTTGGAATTCTTTTTTACAGCCGAGTAAGTGTCATCAGGGCTCAGGTGGTGACTGAGACCGGCAGTGGTATCGTCGGTGTCCGAGTGGGCATTGACCCTTCCAGCAAGACGGGTTCTATTCTGACGCAAGAAACTGGATGGTAAGTTGCGTACAACTAACATTAAGCGTACTCTAAACATTAAGTTTCATATTATAAGGTACTTTTTCCTACTCTTTTCCGTTGTTTTAAAATCGAAAATTACTAAGATATAGAGAAGAGGTAAAACTGGTCAGCTAATTAAATCTGTAGTTTGTGTGATCTAATCCGTGACATAACAATGTGCATTTTTATGTAAATATGGTCACGTAGTTATGTATAATTTTTCTACCGTGTAGTTTTTTTTCATTTATTCTTTATTAATTATGACATTTCATATATAAATTTGGTGCTTATTTATTGTTTTTCATTTGTTTCGAAGTTTTTTTCCAATTAATATTTTGTAGGCGTTTATTTTATACATTATGCTGTAAATCTTTTTAGTCGAATGAAGCATGAACTGTGGAGATAATTCAAGTAGAACCAGAGATATGGGCGAACAGTCTTTTACTAGGCCTTGATGATATTTACTAATTTCTCACCAATGTAGCTATATTCAAGAAATTCCCGTTAAGCATATTTCCGTATTTTTAGAAAACATTTTCTCCAAGCTTCCACAAAAGCTTATCTTCCTCTCTTAGCAACCCTCCAAATATATGGCTGTGAGCGGCAGAGTAAAGTAAAAAGCCATGTTAAACATTATCCTTTGGCTACCATTCTAAGTGATGATATTTTTTTTTCTTGATATTTTTAGTTGGTTTCATCTTTTATTACTAGCGAGATGAATCAAACGTCGTTTGCAGGAAGAGAGATAATTTCCTGATTTTCCATAATCTGAAATTTAAATTTAATCTAACAAAAGTTCTGTCATTACATTTAATTTATTAAGAACAGTTAAAATTTAAACCGTTTCTGTAAATTTTTAGAAAAACCTTTTAAATTATAACCTTTAAAAATTGACATATCATCTTAAAATAAGTAATTTCAATCATATTCCGCAGCATACAGAATTCTTAAAAACTGATGGAACTATAAATGCGTATTTAAATAATAAAAAAGGGTTAATTAAGGTTTTTTTCACTCTTTCGCTGAGTTCGCATTCTAGCACTCACTCCTACTAACCCATTTTTTTCCCTTTTTAGCTTTATTATTTAGCATCCGTTTCGTCGCACTTACGCCATGCCAATTTTTGTAATTTTGCCAAAAGAGCAAAATTACAAAAATTTTAAAAGCATCACAGCAATATATGTTTAGAATTCCTGATGCAGTGTTAAGTATTGGCATACATTTTTCTGTTTTTTTTTTTTTTTTTTTTTTTCCAGTCTTTTCTCACTTTATCATATCAACGTACAATATTCTAAGATTGCTTTACAAAACTTTTGCCTTTTCCTTATTAGTTTTGTGTGTTTACTGTATTTATTAAGTATCACGTTATTGGCGTTAGGACTAGTTCTAGAATAACAAAAAAGATCAGCAACTAAAAGGCAACGTGGCCTTCTGTATGAATACACAACTACATGTAAAGGCGCCAGTGCACCTACGAACTATTTCCAGAAGTTTCGTGGAAGCGAATGTAATATTCCTTCTATCTTCCTACTGTACCTTTAACACCGCAGCATTGACAGCTTCCTTAGCAGCAACGTGGAATGGCACAAACTGCAGATGTCTGGTAATTAGAGATGAATGTCTCTTCGTTCTGAGAATTGGCAACCATTGAATCCGAGTAAAAAGGTTCACTTCTGATCAAGAAACGATTTGTGCTCTGGGATGCAGTACCTGTGATAGCTCATATATTGCAGTAGTTGGTACTCAAAACATTTGACTGCCCAGAGGTACATGGATCAAATTTTACGTCCCCTCGCTCTTCCTAGCAAGTTACAGGTATATTATTTTAGCAGGATAATGTCCGAGTTCCACAGGATTGCCTGCATTATGTTCAGACACTCAGATGGTCTGCCTGTACCTCAGATATGTCTTCTATTGAGCCCATCTTCTGTCAGATAAAATGCCAACGACCACCGTGCTGTAGTATTGAGGATTTGGAGTTGCTGGTCTTTTACGTTTTGGCTTACCTACAGACCAGCAACAAGAGTTGATTCAAATCCACGCTGGACAAAAATGCAAGCAACTAGGTTGGCCGATGCGCAGCTGAAGATGAAAGAACTACATACCAAAATTCATTCTGAAAATGTCCTGTTGCTTTATGCAATCGTATTTATCATTCACCTTCGTCTTTATTTCAGTGAACATTTATTTCAGTCAGTTATTTCTTTCTTTGCGCGCTAATTTCACTGTCTACAAATGCGCTTATTAAAAAAATAACTTTTCCTACCTAATTTAATTCCTACTTTCATATAGTGAAGGTTTTGTAGAAACAAATCAGAAACCCTGAAATGAGCTGGAAAGTTTCTGTCACATATTTATCCACATACAGCTATAAATGCTTGGCAAAATACTATGCTGTGTTATCTTTATCGTAATATATTTTTAGTATTAGTCTGTTTTCCTAATACTTTTAAATGCTATTCTTTTAATCTCAAACTGCTGTCAGGTCATACAAGTTTTCCAAGGGTAATCGATTAATCGAAAGCCCTTTCTCCAATAAGGTAACCCCAGGGTTTTCCGTAAAGACCTTTTGCACGTCTAGTTAGTTATCTAACCAAGCTACTCTATAATGTAATTAAGCTATTAGGAGTTACGATAAAAGTGCTTTAATTAACTCTAAGTGGTTAAGGGAGTCTCTTATTTCCTAATCCTAGGAATGATCGCATTTCTTTGGTGAATGTGTTGAACAGCATTCGGAAAGTTCTGTTTATTTTTCAAATTAAACTACCATACTTCGCTACAAAATTCAGCTCTAAATTTAGTTTAGATTTAGCAAGTGAAATCCCTTAAAAAAATGAAATGCAATTAGTTATGAAATGACAATTTCTTTAATTTACTAAGGCAAATAGAATTTTCTTTTCAGTTTCATATAGTGTCTAAATAACACCTGCAGAAGTTTCTGCTATGCTAGATGATAGTACAAGGTGTGACACAAAAAAAGGAGACTGGTCCGATAAACCATTGCACTTACTGAATCAGTTCTCCACTAAATGATCACTTTAGTAGAAGGAAGTAGTTCCCTTCAGCATTCTGTGCTGCCATTATTGGTAAAAACTCTGGAATGATATTTTTGAAAAACCCTTCAGGGAATTCTCGGTGTTTACCTGAACCTCTTCATCTGAGATAAAAATGGGTTCCCCTTAAGTAAGATGTAACTTAAGGAAATAAGAAAAGTCGCATGGACCCAAATCAGGTGAATAAGGACGATGCCCCATCACAGTAATGTTTTTGCTGGTCATAAACTGCTTGATAGATAGGGTGCAACAGCCATCCATCACTCCACAACCGTGGCCTCTTTTCCCTAATGTTTTCACGAATTATTTTAGTACTTCAATTTAGTAGTGTTGATTAACAGTCTGACCACTGGGAACCCATTGTATCATGATGAACGTGCTGGGCGCCCAGCATTTTCATCATCTTCCACACTGCCCCTTCCACTGAAAACCGCTTACGCCATTCAAACACACGTAAATTAAGACGACGTTTCATCTACATAAGCCTCGGTTAACATTTGAAACGTTTGCCTCCGTGGCTTATTTCTTAAGAAACTTGAATATTGATTCGCTGTTCGATTTTTACATTAGACATTTTCCCACCAAAATGTAGTTGCACATTAAAATTGTATTTTAATCTATTCCTTATAAAATTACACATTAAATTTATCTAAATAATATTTAGCAATTTAAAATAAAAATAAATTTGCACGCACATAAATATTTCGCAAAAGTGGTACCATTGCGAAGAAACTGACAAAAGGGGAAAAAAATGCTTAACTTCTGAAAAGATTATCACTTGATGATAAGTTGCTATATTTGTGGTAATGATGTACTCAAAACACTGTTGAACAAAGTCTTCTTAAGGGGTTAGTGGTAGATGACTTGGATCCATTCCTAATAGGTTCTCCATGAAAACTGGGATGAAGGTAAAAACAATGGCGAGGCTTACTAACCTATAATGCTAAGACCTCAGTTTTTTATTACATACCTCAAATGAGCAAACTAACATTTTATAATTTTAGCATTAAAATTATTCCACTCTAATTAAATCCCTTTTTTAATTTGACTTTTATTGAAATCTTATGTTTCTTAATTTTTATCTCCAATTCACTCAAAATATATTTAACTGGATTTAAATCTAGAGATTCGATTATTGCTCCGGGCAACTGTAGAACAATAAAACGCAAATATGTAAAGCAACATGCTCACTGTCAAACTACTGCATAAAGACTGCATATGCAAAGTACTGTATATGCCTGAAATTTTCCTAATTTTAACAATTCTTCTTCATTGTTCTATTTAGTTCGACAGACTGTCTATTTTTTCTTCGACTGCATTTTCGATCTATTGTGTGTGGGTTACTTGCCACCTCTGGCATTTGCCCCATCAAATTTATTAACTTTAAAAGTTCCCTCCAAAACTTGCCAGATTCCCACTATATCAGCACCTAGAAAAATTAGAAACACTGTTTCCTATCGTGTTCTTAACTCAGGCTCTTCGCTTTCGAAAACTTTCACATGGAGGGTTATTTTCTTTCTCGAAATTGAGTGGGGACATTGACTCATTACAAAGAATGTCCAGCATTGTAAAGCGCAGCTTTGAGAACGTTTTATTCCGAGATCGGAACTTCGAAGAAGAAAGTATTTCCAGTTCTTTTGTTGCCATAGCAACTCAGCAAATAAATCAATTTCGGAAACTGAAACAGGGTGCTAGTGTATTTGTTACTCGAAGCTTCATGCATTATACATTTCTCAGTCAGGAAGCGGAGAATTGTTTTTAATTAAGAAACTTTTGTGGAAAGTTTAAATATTTTACCACGCATTTTCGATTGCTCACATTTAAAAGTTGGGCAGGAAACCGAAACGCGAATGTAATTTTTTAATTTGAAGTCTGCTATCGAGGGATACATGTCAAGAGGCTCTTTGGGGATTATAAGTTATGTACTTTATCCTCGCAAATGGA